AGAAGAATGCGGAACGAGTTTATGGCTGCTTGGGATGGACTGAGGTCAAAAGACAGCCAGAGAATCCTCATCCTTGGCGCTACAAATAGACCATTTGATCTCGACGACGCTGTCATTCGACGCCTACCAAGAAGGTAAAGTTCTCACAAGTAAACATTAAGTGCTTGCTTGGTAGTACTTATAAGCTGTGGGTCTCACGGAAAGTGTGGATAATAAGTGGGTAGTAAATTGTGGTCCTATAAAATGTGTGGATAAAAGTATGTTTTACCTACTTAAATTATAATTTAAGCTTTGCAAACATGCTGTAAGTGTTATGTCAGATGATCAGCATGCCTGTTCTGGGAGGATTTTAAAACCTGTTCTATATCACGCTGTCTTTAATTACAAATATCGTTTATCTTTAAAGAATGTTGGTTGCAAGAGAATGCTTTGCTGAAACACAATAGGCTGAAATGATGGAAAATGAAAATGCTAATGAAATATGTATGGTTATTAGGATTTATGTGAACCTACCAGATGCTGAAAATCGTCTGAAGATACTGAAGATAATACTTGCTCAAGAAAATCTGGAATCTGGATTTTCTTTTGACCAACTTGCAAATGCTACCGAAGGTTATTCGGGGAGTGATTTAAAGGTAATTCGCTGAATTTCATTACGAATTAGATACAATTATTTTTGCTCAAGTGTATCAAGGGGGTGTAATATTGTACTTGTGTAAACATATTTTTGCAGAACCTTTGCATTGCTGCAGCATATAGACCTGTCCAAGAATTGCTAGAAAAAGAAAGCAAGGTAAAGGCGACAATGCTTGATCTATCATTCCTTTTATAGAATTTTGCTGTCCCAGATGGCTGCATTTCCTTCACAGTCTTTGGTTGGAACTGCCTTGCGTTTTTTTATTTATTTTTAATTTTTTTCTATGATAGGGTACTTACTAATTTATTCTTTTACAAGTTTATCACCATTCTTTTAGAACAATATACATGGGAGCATTATAGGACGAAAACTACTGATTCCTAAATTTTAAGTGCTTTTTTAGTACTTACTGGTGGATAGACTTCAATCTCAGTTCGGGCTGATTTTGACTAAATTTTGAACCTGGTATATGTTTGGGTAGTATTTATAAACAAATAGAAACGAGTGATGGATAAATGGGTAGTACTTGTGGGTCGCTCAAAATGTGTTGATTAAAAGTGGTTTGAGTGTTTATAATCATTTCTTAAACATGAGCCAGACATAGGCTAAGATGTATCCTTTCCATATGTTGAAAACTAAATTATGAAGCCCCTTTCTTTAGCAAAATAACTAGTAGAACAGCTAATCGATGGGGGTACCAAGGCCAACTAATGGATTCTTGAGTTTATCACCAATCTTTCAGAACAATATACATTTGAATATAATAGGACAGAAACCACTGATTGTCTAATTTGAAGTTCTTTAGTGCCACTTATTGGTGGATAAAACTTGAATCTCATTTAATGCTGTTTTGACTAATTTTTGAACCATTGCAAGCTGCTTGCTTTAATTCTTGGCTTTGCGTGCTCTGGCTAGCTTTTTGACTTGCCACTTGGGCCCCATAGGTCGGTAATGTTCCAAGGTCATCAATAGATCAACAATTGAAATCTGAGTTGGGATCTTTTCCAGTTTTTCCTCCACATTCTACTCTGGCTTCTTGAGAGCTTTGTTCCGACTTAAGACCTATTCATATTTCCCATCATAGCACATTCTTCACCCTCTTCTTCTCCACTTTTCAATGCTATCGTCCTTGTTTCCTACGTCCAAGATACCTTTGAAGCCTTGCTTTCCCTTCTAGAAAAGGGTGTGGTTGAGATAACAATAGGTGAAAGTTCAAAGATAGCAAATGGTGGCTGGTGCTGGCGTTGGAAGTTTTAACGATGGAAGAGTGTGTTCGTATGAAAGGAGTGAATGGTCCATATTTTCCTCTTTACCACTGTCAAAAAACACGCCTGAGTTACCATATTTTCTCTAACTTGCGAACCATTCTTTCTTCTTAGTTAATCACAATAATTTCCACGTCTAAAATTGGTTCTTGTCTCATTGCAGGGTAAGCGAAATGATGGAGTGCCTGTGTTAAGACGACTTAATTTGGATGACTTTGTCCAGTCGAAAGCCAAGGTAAATTGTTCGAACTCTACTTTTAAGTGTATCAAGCCCAGAAAGAAAAAAAAAAAAAATTATATATATATATATATATATATATATACCAATCAATTGAACTTTAAAATTGAGCTTTATAAAAATTTCCAGGTGGGGCCTTCCGTTGCATATGATGCAGCCAGCATGAATGAGCTGCGGAAATGGAACGAACAGTATGGTGAAGGAGGAAGCCGTAGGAAATCACCATTCGGTTTTTGAAATTAGTAGTAAACTATATTTCGACGTCTCATTGTCTCGAGAAGCTTAAACCTCAGAAACTTTGTATTTGTAAGGTAGAATCTCGTTTTTTTTTCCTTTTTTCGTCCAATATAATTGGTTATCGTTTTTTTAGTATGGTAGGGTTCCTAATAATTGCGAGGACATACGAAGAGGCTATTATACCATTATTTATCAGTAGTTCTAGCATAGCAATCTTATTACACTGTTATGCACTTTGTGTAACTTTAATTAATTCTTAGTTTAGTTGTCTGAAGATCAAGATTGCCTTGTCTTAGCTATTTGAGTATTAATAAGCATTTGAGTTTGTAATTTTTTTTTTCGTATAATGCTGATTTGATCATAAATATGTCAATTCTTAGTTCAAAATGAGTCCACTACGGGAATAGACAGCGGATCTGAACTCGTTCAGAGTGTAACGCATTGTCTAATTGATGTGTTGATAGGAATGTTTTTCGTGTAGATTATTGGTCTATAATAAAAGAAGGGTATCTTTGCTCATTTTAGATAAATTCCTTTAATATTATGTTTTACAAATTTCCAATAATTTCAAAAAAATAAATCACACACCACATGGTTATATGACTTAGGGGTTGTTTGCGCCCCAATTTTTTTCCTTCAAAAAATGCATTTTAGAATAGTGTTTTGATGGTGAATGTGTGGTTAAAAAATAAGAAAAAGTTTTGAATGTAATATTATTTTATTGAATAATGTGTGGTTGAAATGTGATCAAATCACTTTTAAAAATGTATTTTGATGAAAAAATGGGGCTCAAACAAGTGCTAATGTTTATACACAAAAAATGACTTAGAAGTGGATGAGTAACGAAAAATAATATTTTTTGTTGGTCTAAGTTAAAAGGGCTATGCTACATGTACATAATTTTTTCACATAATCTTTTACACCCCACTCACATTAGGAGGTGGGGACCACGAGCCGCCATTTATAAACCCACACGGGCCCCGCACACATTGTGAGGGGGGTACACCCTTCGGTACCCCC